CTTTCAATATTTAGATCTTTGGTCCATTGTGATTTTAGTTTAGTACATAGTGAGAGATGTGGGTCTAGATTCATCTTATGCATGTGGCCAGTTTTCCCAACACCATTTATTCTTTTTTAATTTTTTTGGTACCAGGGATTGAACTCATTACCTTGGGCTTGAGAGGTAAGCTTGGTGTCACTGAACTAAATCCCTGGCCCCACAACACCATTTATTAAAGAAGCTGTCTTTCCCCCAGCATATGTTTTTGGCCCTTTGTCAAAGAGCAGATAGCTGATTGTCCCTGCAGTTGTTTCTGCATCCTCTATTCTGTTCCACTGATTTGGTTGTCTGTTTTTATGTCAGTACCATGCTTTGTTGTTTTTTTTTTAAACCACTGTAGCTTTGTAGTATAACTTGAAGTCCAGGATTGTGATGCCTCCTGGTTTGCTCTTATTGCTCAGGATTCCTTTTGGTATTTGGAGTCTCTTCTTGTTCTGTATGAATTTTAGGATTGTTCTACAAGGAATGCTATTGGTATTTTAATTGGGATTGTATTAATTCTGTGTATCGGTTTTGGAAGTGTGGCCATTTTGATAATTTTAGTTCTGCCTATTCAGGAACAGGGGATATCTTTCCATTTTCTGACATCCTTGTTAATTTCCCTTTTCAGAATACCGCAGTACTGTTTGTTACATAGAGGTCTTACGCTTCCTGGGTTAGATTAACTCCAAATATTTAATTTTTCTGATGCTATTGTGAATGGTATTGTTTTCCTAATTTCTTTTTTTTTTTTTTGGTACCGGGGATTGAACGCCGGTCCTTGCGCCTGCAGGACAGGCGGTGGAACCACTGATCTAAATCCCTGGCCCAAAATATTATCTCTCCCTTTATCTTTTTCTTTTTGGTACAGGGGATCGAACTCGGGAACTTGTGCTTGCAAGGCAGGTGCCAGAACCACTGAGCTAAATTTCTGGCCCTGTTTTCCTAATTTCTTTCTCAGTGAGTTCATTATTGTTGTACAGGAACACTATTGATTTTGTATCCTGCAACACTATTGAATTTGGTTATTAATTCTAGGAGCTTTGGTGGATTTTTTGGAGGGTCTTCTGTATAGAGGACCATATCATCTGCAAATAATGATAATTTGACTTTTTAATTTCCCGTATATATCCCTTTTATTTCTTTCCTTTGCCTTATTGCTCTGGCTAATGTCTCAAGAACTCTATTGAACAAGAGTGGTAATAGTGCACATCATTGTCTGGTTCCCGATTTTAGAGGGAATGCTTTCAGCTTCTCCCCATTTAATATGATGTTGGCAACATCATGATTATTGAGTTGTCTTCTCAAATACCTCAGTACCAGGAAAGAAGGACCTGGGATAATAAATGCAAACATTTTCCAGTGTAAATCACTGGAAAAGTAGAACATACCCTGAAAATTATACTTTTTGAGGGCAATTTGTATGGCTTTATTTAAGCACAAATAAAATATGGATAGGAGCTGTCTATTCATTTCTTGGCTGCATAGCCTAGCTTGGGGAATGGTGACTTTGATGGCTGCCTGGGCTGCTCTTTCACCATAGCTTTGGGGTTTGTAGGAAGCATCTTGAACAATCTGAGGGGAGTAAGATTGTTGCACACCAGCAGAACTTCCACCCCCTCGGCCTTGTGGATGGATCAGGAAGGTTGAGACATCACTGGGAGGCCTATACTCTTTTTCCTTGTTGTTTCCATAACCAATGTTGGGTCTCAAGATCTGGCCCTTGGATCTTCCTCTACCTTGTTGTCAATACCTCTGGATTTCCACCAATTGCACTTAATTTTGTCACAGGTCTGACTGGTCCTGTATAAACTTCTTGGTCCTATTTTTTGACAACCTTGGCCTTCACAAAGAGACTGAGGATGGACATAATGATGAGTAGGAAATGTGGTTTATATCTAGATGTCCCCCCAAAGCCTCATGGATGGGTGATACTGGATTAGTCCACTGATTGGTTTAACATAGTTCTGGATGTGGATGATGGACTTACTGAAGAGGGAAGACTCATGCTGGGTGTGGTGGCACCAACCAATAGGCTTGCAGCCTGGATGGAATAAAAAGGGAAAGAAGAAGGAAGTCTCACTGCTTCCTACCTGCCTTGCCATGGACTGTTTCTCCTCTGTGATGCTTCTCTGCTATGCTGCCCTAAATTGGAGTTAGCCAACTATACACTGAAACCTCTACAAACTGAGCTAAAATAAACCTTTCCCACTTTAACTTGTGGCTGTTGGGTATTTCATCCCAGCAATGAGAAAGTAACTAAGACAAAATGGCTGCCACCACTGAGGAAGAGAGAGGGGAAAATGGCACACAAGGGCTGATAGGGCTGTATTTGCAGCAAAACTGAACCTCAAACTATAATGAAACCACAAAATTTGCTACCCAGTAAAGCTTTTCCTGAGTACAATTTTGGCTTCTGTTTTGTATATTTCAAGCTCAAATCGTTTCAATATCAAAATCAAAATGGAATCTGGGGGCCGGGGATGTAGCTCAATGGTTTTGCTGCCTGCTGCGCAAGAGCAAGGACCCAGGTTCAATCCCCAGCACCAAAAAAAAAAAAAAAAAAGGAATCTGGCATGGTGTGGACACCTGTGATCCCAGTACTCTGGGAGGCTGAGGCAGGAGGATCACAAGTTTGAGTCTTGCCTGGACAACTTAGTGATTTAGCAAGACCATGTCTCAAAAAGGTGAAGGCCTTGGGGCCAGGGATTTAGCTCAGTGGTTCTGCCGCCTGCCTTGCAAGTGCAAGGTCCTGAGTTCAATCCCCTGTACCAAAAAATGAAGAAGAAGAAAAAAAAAAGGTGAAGGCCTTTAATCCTTGCTTCTACAAGCAAACAAAAACAATAACAAAACAAAGTTCTGACGCCAATATTTTTGTTGTTGTTCTTTTAGCCATGATGCTAAGAGATGTCTAAGGTCTACTAACCAAAAGAGTAAAGACAGAGTTCAAACCACAGAAATCCACCTGTTCATGGCGGCTAGATACTAGCTAGGTGTGGAACCACAGCTGTCAAGCTGTGTGTGACATCTCTGAGGGTTGGAGAGTCCCTGGGACCCTCTGGATTGCCTGTGCTTTCTGATGAGCCATCACTTCTCTCAACATATTAATCCTTTTGGGATTCCTCTATCCGTGTACCTACATAGCACATTTTAAAGCCCTCAATACCTTCCACTTGTGGGCTTTAATAAAATCCTAATGGAACTCAACTTCACTAAATCTTTGTCTTTTGGGGATCCAGAGCTTCCTGATTGCCTCACCCTCTGTAAGGAAGCCCCAGTCTTCATTTTCTATATTTTCCTCTGCAAATTTCAGAATGAACATTTTTGCCTCTCTTTTAATTGTGTAGGTTTTAAAAATTTTTATTTTATTTTATTTTTTGTGATGGTGGTGGTGGTGGGAGCTTCCATTTTAAAAATGAAATACTGCTGGGTATTTAGCTCAGTGGTGCCTCCACCTGCCTCACAAGTGCAAGGTCCTGAGTTTGATCCCTGGTACAAAAAACCAAACACACAAAAAATAAAAAATGAAATACTTTTTTTCTTTTCTTTCTGCAGTGATGGGGATTGAACCCAGAGCCTCAGTGCATGTATCCCCAACCCTTTTAAAGAATTTCGAGAAAATTTCTTGCTAAGTTGTCCAGGCTGGCTTCAAATTTGCAATCCCCTGTGCCATAGCCTCTTGAGTAGATGGGATTACAAGTATATGCCACCACGCCCTGGAGAAATACAGTTTTGAATAATAAAGGAATGTTTACCCTGGAACCTACTCCACACTTATAATAAATCCCAGCCCCTGATCATTTGTACACGGAAGGTGGTATTTCTCCTATTTTTCTATTCCTTTCTCCCCTCTCTTGTCCCACTGTCTGTCATCTCCATATCTTCACCTGCCAGTTTTGATTTCTGGGCAATCACCAGATAATACTTTCAAAAGATAAAACTTGCAACAATTTAAAGATCTTTACTTGCTTTTATTCATGATTCCAGAATCAGGCAGCCTTCTAAACCATAACAGGTTTAAAGAACTTTGGCTGGCAGGTTGGGGAGTATATATGGGCAGAAAACAGAAGTGAGGCACAAGGTTTAGTTCATTCTAGCTTTTGCCTTGTTTGATCAGCTGTATGCCTAGTATTGTCTAAAGTTCAGCTGCTGTCACTTGGCCATTGGCTACCTGAGTATGCTCCTAAGTTAATCAGTTAGCACAAGTGACTCTATATTGGATTGGTCTGTTGGGCCCAGTACAGGAGCCTAGTTCAAATCAACAGCCTCCTACAAACCTTAACAACAGTAACTGCTGTTTCAACTGGTAGGATCATAACTTCAATATGGAAATTAGCCTGACATTTATGTTCCTCTGTCCCAAATAATTATGAAGTTTTTGGACAACACAGAACTCATTCTTTGTTCAAAGTGTGGAGCTAGCTTGCGTTCTCTGTAAGTGGGAGGATGCAACTCATTACTGTTAGTCATGAAGCTCATTTGGATCAGCTTCTATTATTCTAGCCATTCCTTCTGGGTTATTGAGTACTTCTTAACTTGTAGGCACTGTGCCAGACACCAGCATTGTAAAATGACCACTGTCCTCTAAGTGCTAAGTTTCTCATTATATTCCTGAAACTTCTACTAGTGACTTGCCTCACTTTGGGAAGTCACTGGTGGGTAGACCCCTGTTGCCTTGTTGTAAAACAAGGGGCTTAAGTAATCTCATAATTGTAAAGCCTTTAAAATCAGAGGATGCAGATCTGACCTCTTGTCTTAGTCTGGTCATTAAACTGGTCCGTGTCTTCAAGCACAGTGTTCAGTCTTTGTATCTGTCTTCTCCTATATGAAATAAATGGAAGATGCTAGAACAGGTTTGAAAAAGTGTCCAAGGAGCCAGCCGTGGTGGTGCATCCCTATAATTCCAGCACCTGGAGGCAGAAGGATCCTGGGCTAGAGAGACCCTGTCTCAAAAAATAAAACAAAACCAAACAAAAATAAGTGATCAAGGAATGTTAATAGACCTTCGTAGGTAAAAAAAGATTTCTGTGTTCAAGCAGGTCTAGGGAATGCTGAAGTCAGTCAGTGTCTTCACTCTAGGACTCCTCAGAAGCTTTTCCAGGCCACTTTTGCTTCTTGACTCTCCAAGTGGGAGGTAGTGAACTGTGTTTCTCAGGCTTATCTCAGAGCAGATGCTTCTTTTTCCCGGAAGCATCTCTGTAGCACTAATGTCAGGCGATGTCTGTGCAATGTCTTACTCTACATCCTCCAAGGCCTTTTATTTGAGCTCACTCCTTATCCTAGGATCAATTTCATGACACAGGTATCTTCTGGTTTATGTTCTAACATAGCTGTGTTGTATGCACAGTAATGTTTCTTTTCTCGCTTCAGGTTTTGCGTTTGATGCTGTGTGCATGGGCTATAATCTCACCCTACATGACTTGCAGATGCATACATCTCATTAACACTGGACACCAGTGACCAGCATGAGTACAAAGGCTGCTTTGCGGGGAAATATTCCATGGAGCAGCACAGAGGGAACTCTTTAGGGAACAGGGATGAGATGAACATGAGAAACAATAGCATTCATAAGGCAGATTTCCACGACCCCCCCAAATTAGCATTTTGATGACTAAATAAGTCTTTCCCATCACAGGACTGCTGTTCCCAACCAAGTCTGTTAGAACTCAGAGTAACAGAACTGAGTGGCTCCTTGTAAAAGTCTGTGTTCAACATCTGTCATGCCGAAGATCATTAATGTTCAATTCCATCCTATTGTCTTCCTGTTATTCATCTTCATTTCATTGTCATTGCTTCAGCTGGGGATTAATCAACTATTTATGGGAAGACAAGACTTGGAGTCAGGGCAGTCACAATAAGGTTATGATCTGGGACAATGACAGGGAAAGCAAGTCACTGTTAAGACACGCTTGATTTGTGAGAGCTTGTTGATAATTTAATTAAACAAAAATATAGAATACTGTAATGCTGACATATCCATATTTCAGAGGAGAGTTACTTGATCTTCCTGAAGTATCCTAAAATGTTTGAATTGAGCCTATTTGGGGTTTGTTTCTTTGCCTCTTGATTCCTCTTAAGAGCAAGAAATGAGATGAATGAAGACAATGTTTCTCTGTATAAAGCATATAATTGTTATCAGCAGTGGAAATCATACTTGTTACTGTTCCTGAGGGCAGATGACACAACTGAAACCCGGATGTCCTATGAAATAGTTTCATAGTTTCGTGAGATGAACAAAAATGCTCATTAGGAATTTTTTTTAACTTTTTTTTTGGGTACCAGAGATCAAACCTGGGACCTTGTGCTTGTCAGGCAGGCAGCGGAACCACTGAACTAAATCCCCAGCCCAGGAATTATTTTTTAAAGCCTCATGAATTACTACTCAGATGTTTGCATTTTGTGCATCATGATTAGTTTTATTAGATTTAAATATCAAATAAGTGATTAGTTTGTCATCTCCATGTATGACCCAAAGACATTTATGAACAGGGGAAATGAAGTATGGATGATACTGAATTAATTTGCCTAGGCATCTGAAAGCAACTCAATCTAAATACATAGCTGGAATAATATAAGGTTTTAAATATACCTTAGTATCTTTTGATATGTTAAAAGTTATTTCACAGAAAACAGCCAAATTATTTGCACAGTAAAATTCCAGGTCTGCAATAATAATTAGAGCTTGTTAATTTGTCCCAATTTACTTACTAGAGAAAATAAAAATCTCAACATATTTAATCACCATTATACAAAATTGTCACACGTCTCCATGAAGCTAAATTTTACAGTAGACTTCTGATATTTAGGATAATGCCCAAATCACCATATTCGCACAAATAATTTCTAATAATTGTAAAACCTCAGTTAAGTTTCGGACACGTAAGCTGCCTGCTGATCTGGGAAAAGTGGCCCAAGCATTCCCCACCCCCACCTGGCTATTCTTTGGGGACAGCCGGGCCATCCAGATGGCGCGTTAGTTAGCGGTGGTCAGAGCTCCGGAGAAACTTCAACAGCTAGGGCGGTAATGTCAGGGTTATGCTGCGAGTCGCCCCCTCCCCCTGCAGTTCCCAGGGCAGGAAGGTGCTGAGAGGGAAGCCGAGGGACGCCCGCCCACCTGCCACCACCTGTTCCCTCCTTAGCCCTCGGCTATAAATTCTCCTCCCTCCAAGATGCAGCCCGCGCTCTCCTCTCGGACAGCTCCTGCGCTCCTTCCCGAGCAGAGCTGCGGAAAAGATTTCATCTTCCTTGAAGGCAGGCTCGGGCTTCCCCAGAGTACTGCGAAGGCCTGTCCCGAACCAGCCACACCAAGCTCTGCCCCAAGAAGGGTTCCTTCTCTTTTTACAACTTCACGCTGGGAAGATGACTTTTTCTTGAGCACCTCCATGTCCCTCTACTTGGGCAAGGGAAGCGACACCAGCCTGGTCACCCGGCAGGTCCGCAGGCCGATCCCGCATTCCCCACTGTAAACTGATCGCACGTGAGTTGCTCTGTTCGCGACTGTTCGCTGAGAGCTGAGTCCCGGCTCAGTCCCGAGCTCCGCCCCTCGCAGCTCCAGCGCCAGCATGAAATCCTGCAAGCCCGACAGGCCCCCGGGAGCGCGCGCCGCTGCCCCTTGCGCGGGCGGTGCCGACTGCGCAGGCGCGTGCGCCGGGCCCGGGCGTCTGGAGAGCGCTGCGCGCAGGCGCCTGGCAGCCAACGCGCGCGAGCGCCGCCGCATGCAGGGGCTGAATACTGCCTTCGACCGCCTGCGCAGGGTGGTCCCCCAATGGGGCCAGGATAAAAAGCTGTCCAAGTACGAGACGCTGCAGATGGCGCTGAGCTACATCATGGCTCTGACCCGCATCCTGGCCGAGGCCGAGTGCTTCGGCTCGGAGCGGGACTGGGTCGGCCTGCACTGCGAGCACTTTGGCCGCGACCCCTACCTGCCCTTCGTGGGCGCCAAGCTACCGTCTGAGAGCGAGCCCTGCGGCACGAGGCTCTTCAGCTTCCAGCCCGAGCCCTTCCAGATGCCCAGCTAGGGCCGCAGGGGCTGGGAATAAAATCAGGAGACGTCCAGGCTCCTTTCAGTCGAATCTTCAGAACTATGAATGCAATAATTCTATTGCCTTTCTTCCCTTCCTATTCTGTGTTTTGTAGATTTTACTAACGAATCTCTTGAGTGACTGTTGTGAGAATAATGTCCCATCCCCTTTTCTGGACTACTTTGAGGGAAAACAAGCTTCAGGGAAAAAAATAAGATTAGATTTTACTGCAGTTTCAGTCATCAGAGAAATAATCACCTTCTTAAACTTTGCAAGATTGTCCTGTTCCGGTGAAGTTGTCTTAGGCATTGCCTGTGAATGCTTGAAACAGACATCTTTCTAAAATGCTTAAATGCATTTATACTCAGTGTATTGCGTGTGCATGCATTAAGTAGAGGCAGATTTCTTTTTTTGTTTGCTAGCATACACGGGCATGAATACTCTGTATTTTTTAAACTGTGTACACGTTATTAAAATACAGATTTTGTAAAACATAAACAATGTGGGTTTGTTTTTCATGCCAAGTCCCTGCCTTTTTCCTGATGGCTGAAGGCCAAAGATTTGGAATGCTTAAATCTAACCCTACCAATCAGCAAATTGCTGTTTTGTAATAATCAAAATAATACAATTTATTGATTTGAAAGTTTTCTTTATTGGCTTGGAAATGTGTATTTTTGGTAGCCATGAACATGTAAAATTCAAATAATATTTAGCTTTTAAATAAGATATAGAGTTCCTTAATATTTTCCTTACTAAGCCAACTACTAAATTCCTTTCAAGTACCTAAATATAATGTATATAGCAATCATATATGTAATACAGACACATATATGAACACACATATGTCTACAGTGAACACTGGGAGAAAAAAAATGTTGGTCTGTGGGTGTGATTTCCTTTTAATGCATACAAATTGAGCAAGAAAGTCTATACCCTACCATTATATCCTTTCAAAACAGCAACACCATAATCAGCATGGTTTGGGTGTGAATTACTTTTATAAATTTGCTTAACCCTTACACAAATAAACTGCTAATGTGAAGTGACTTAGTCACGGGCACTGCATGTGTAGGGGGATGTCTTGCTCATAGATAGGAAAGGCCGGGCTCTAATAACTGATCTGTGCATTTGGAATTTGTTACAACTCAACAATGACATCCTCCACATCCTTTTATTGTGGATTACAAAGCGTGGCCTCAGATACCTTTGAAATTAATCTAGAGGGTCTCCATCAAAATTATTTTCTTAAATTATTTTCTTAGTTATACCTCACTATCAAAATTCACTTGGCTTGTAATGCAGGAAACTACCTTAAACTTTCAAAATCACATGTGTGTCTGTTCAGCCGAGGAGGGCTCAGGACTTTGCTTCTTCACTGCAAATGAGAAAGTAAAATATTTGCCTTCTTGACTCCAACAACTCTGAGAAGATGCGATGCACCCAACAGACAGCAACACAGCTCCACAAGCCAGGATCAAGGGACATCTCGCAGGTCACGTTTTGCTCTGCAGTGTGCACTGCAGTTGGCAAGATTCTAGGCAGTTGCCTTACTTCCTATTTGGGCACATTAGTTTACTTTTTTAGACTCCCTAAAAAGCATTAAAAATTCCCTTACTGTTGGGTGTGGTGAGACTCACCTGTAATCCCAGGGCTCCTGCTGTTGGGGTGGGAGGCTGAAGCAGGAGGATCCTGATGAGTTTGAGGCCGCCCTGGGACTACATGGTGAGACTGGACTACATAAGGAGACCTAGTCTGTCACCTGCCCCCCCCCCCAAATCCTTGTATGTTTGTAGAGTTTGAGAATGAATAAAATTAGTGCTAACAAACATGTCTCTTTCTCTCTCTCTCTTTTTTTGGTACTGGGGATTGAACTCAGGACCTTCTGCTTGAGAGGCAGATGGTGGAACCACTGAGCTAAATCCCCAGCCCATAAACATGTCTTTCTCAGAGATCTTTAGTCATTTTTCAGGCAGGTTGTCACATCCCCCTCTCTGACTGTAAATACCGTGTAAAAGGGGAATATACTTTTCATTGTCTGTCTATGGCTTCTAGTACAGGGCCTTGCATAGGAAATCCACTCAAAAAATATTGGTATGAATTATAATAGCACTTTCTTAACGAAATAAAACAATTCAATTATAATGATGCAGTTCTAATCTCATACTACCCTGACCTCACTTCCACAAAAGAATGAAAATTTGTCTCTTAAACAATGAGACTTTAACTGCCTGTTTCTGCCTCTTGGACATTTCTAGACCAAATTCTTAAGCTTTTCACTCCAGTCAATGTACTATTTCCTCCTCCTTGGGAAGACATTGAGGAAAAAGTAAATGATTAAATTCAGTGTTGATAAAATCCCTTAAACTGTGCATTCATTGTGATTTATGAATTAGGAGCTCAGAAAAAACAAGTGTAAAACTATTTGAAGATTCACATTATTTTACATTATAGTTTACATTACCAAGTGACCCAAAATTTGCAGTATTTTATATAGTTCTTGTACCTGGGCTCCCTTTTCTCAACAAACCAATACATATTATCAAGCACCTGCTCATACCAAGGCTTACACATACATCGTCCTTGTCCTTGGCAAAGCAACCAGAAAGAACACAGGCATTCCTTGCTGCGACCTCTCATCCTAGTGTGACTGAATCCTTCAGTAGTGTAGTAGATACCATCGATGTGTGCCATGATAGGTCCTGAGAGTAAGCATTAAATGATAAAAGAAGACCTGCCCAGCAGGGTTTCAGTTAGCCTAGCTGTCACACATGGGCTCTCCATGCCAGCTGAAGGTGGAGGTTCCAGACCCCAAGGTCACAAGCCTCGGAGACCCATGTACAAGCCAAGGGGCACCTAGATGGGAAAGGCCGCCTAGGTCAGTGTTCTCAATCCTGACTGCTCATCAGAATCACACCATGAAGCACAGAGTCTGAGGCCGCCACCCTGAGTTGATTCATGAGCTGTAGATATCTAAATGCTCCCCAGGTTACTACAATTGGCTGCCACTCTTGAAAACCGCTTAATTAAACAATACCTACTACGACACCATTAACCTCAATACTCAGAATTGGTTCTGTTGACTGCTTATTGTTTGTATTTGTAGATCTTGAGGACTCTCTAGGCTATCTTCTTTTGCCCCATATACTTTCTGAGGAAGTGCACAATTAATGCTCACACACACTTTGGCTTAAATGATATCTCAGTATTCAGTTCCACAGAGTGTCTTAACATGCACGGTGTGGAGGAACAAATATGAAAGTAAACAGGAATAAAATCCAACATCTGTTCGTTGCTTTCTAGTAATAGAGGCAAACTAAACAGTTTCTGTAATTCACACATTTCACTGTTAAAATGGCTATTAGAATGGCTTTTCCATGAAGATTTCAATAACCAAGAAGGTAACTTGAGAAAATAGACTGGAGCTTCCTAAGATGGAAACGTATCATGCTTATGAGCCTTCTGGGGCCTGGCGTGATTTCAGGTGGAAGGAAGTCTCGCCAGGGGAGAGAGGAAAAGCGTTAACCGGCAGCACTTAATTCTGACTGAATTAAGTTAGCTGCGGGTGCTGAGTGGCTCTTTATCTGCAGTGTGTATTTTTGTGTGTGGGGGTGGTCAGTGCATGCACGTGTGCGCCTCTGCCTGTCATTTGTTAGCTGACATGAAACCAATAGGATTTATATCCGGACTTGATTTAGCTGAGAATGCAAAAAAAAGACCAAAAGATGGGCTCATTTTTGAGGGCCTCTGTCGGCCTCTCGCCCGGAAGTCAATTCATTTCCCAGAGAGGCGGGGGCTGACACGCAGCGGCGCGCGTCTTCACGAGGAGAGCACCCCAGTCTTGAGCTGCTTAAGCCGCCCAGGAATAGAGCAGCCCCCAGCTGTTGCTTAGCACCGCGGAATCTCATTTTCACTAGCGTTGATCCTAACTGCAGGCGTCGGCGTTCTTCTAGGCTGCTCGTCAGAGCTGAAATAAAGTCTCCTGCAATCTGGCTGCAGAAGCAGATGGGCTATTACTTGACGTCATTTGTTCTTCCTCCAGATTTATTTGGTTCTCTTGATGCTGAAGATCAAAGCCAGGGTCTTGTGCATGGTAAGCATGGGCTTTACCCCAGAACTTGTCCTTCAGCGCCTGTGTACTATTATAATTATTTGTTGCATACCCACCTTAGAAAAAGAAATTCCACTATTGTGTGCTAGCTACCCTTCTAAGGAAAAGCAAAGCAGGGGATCTAGCTCAGTGGCACCGCGCCTGCCTGGCAAGTACAAGGTCCTCAGTTTGATCCCTGGTTCCAAAAAACCAAAACAAAACAAAAAAAACAAAGCAGGGCTGGGTGGGGGAAGAAGTAGGAACTTTTAAAACAAAGTAATTACTTACTTTGGAGATTTTTTCTTTTTACTATTTTATAATAAAAATTACTTAAAATTTTTTACTTATTTTTGTGGTGGTACTGGGGGGTGAACTCAACACCTTCGCACTAAGCTACATCCCCAGTCCTTTATTTAGAAACAAAGTCTTGCTAAGTGGCTAAATTGCCTGGGCTCTCAAATTTTCGATTCTCCTGCTTCAGCCTCCCAGAATGCTAGGATTACAGGCATGTACTCCCATACCTGGCTGGAGAAAAATATTTTTAAGTATTTTTCTTGGAATTTAAAAAATTGCTACTATATTTTTGTGGAGCAATCTCAAAATAAACTCTTTTTTTTTTGGTAGCGGGACTTGAACTTGTGCTTGCGAGGCAGGTGGCAGAACCACTGAGCTAAATCCCCGGCCCTCAGAATAAACTCTTCATAAATACTTACTTATTTATCCTAGCTGCCATCCTGGGAATGTATCAAATATTTTGCTTACTTTAAAGAAACAAAGAATTTCCTCAGAGTTAGAGAAAAAAATTATAGAACATATCTAATATTCATCTGAATTATTAAAATTTATCTTATAATTCACCTAAGATCTCATAGAAATAAGGAGCTTTCTTATTATCCAAGATAAAAACCCTGGCAGGGAAGAAATGAAGGGAGAGGGCAAGTCAACAAACAGTGCTAACACTTGCAAAAACTAAGTGGTCAATAATCAGTGGAGAAAAGATTTGTTTTTCTTTCCTTTTTTTGTTGAGACCAGGTCTTGCAATGTAGTTCAGGCTGGCCTTGAACTCACTATGTAGCCCAGGCTGGCCTCAAACTAACAGCCATCCTCCTGCTTCAGCTTCTTGAGTGCTGGAATTACAGGTGAGAGGAGATTTTTTTTTTTTTTTTGGTACTGGGGATTGAACTCAGGACCTTGCACTTGCAAGGTAGGCTCAATGCCACTGAGCTAAATCCCTGGCCTGAGAAGAGATTTTTGTAATAAAAATACTGAAATAATAAAACTTAATTTACCCATGTTGGGACAAAAGAATACAGTTACATTCAATTTTTTTTCAGGATTTTTGCTCTTAAATTATATAGCAAAAACTTCTATACTGTGTATATATAAGAACATTCAGTAATCTCCTAAAGGGACTACTGTAGTCAATATGAATATATGGTTCACTGGAATCTTACACTAGTCCTGTGGGAATGTTATAAGAATGTGCTTCTTAACTCAGTGTGGTGGTACACTCTGGGGGGCCAAGGCAAGGAGGATCACATATATTTTTATTTATTTATGTATTTCTTGGTACCGAGAATCAAACTCAGGGCCTTGTGCTTGCCCAAATATTTTTAAATATGAAGAGAATCCATGTTTTGTGTGGGTATTAATATACCTCTCATTATGACAAAAGCATACTCATATCTTTATTTTCAATTTGAGCTGGCCAAACTGCCTCCCATCTTGAAATTCTATTTTTAAATGTGTCTCTGTTTTCAGTTAGGATGTATTTAGGAATGAATTTTTATCTTAGGTGAAGAATATCCTATGAGAAATCTCCTGGATTTGCTGGATATTTTAGAAAGACCAAAAGCTAGTTATCACTCTACAGATATCTTAACCAGGTTACAACCCATTTAGTAATTTATACATTTTGAATAAAAATAATTTATAAAAATCACTTTCAGGTCAAATATATTTGTACACTCCAAAAGTGGTTCAACCATCATCAAAAAGTAATCTGGAAATGAGGATTATTTTCTACATTGTAAAGAAAACATACATTTATTTCAGCCTTAAAACATTCATAGTCAAGTAATACTGAAATAGTTTAATTTTTCTTATTAGTGAAACATTTTCCATTCATTAATATGTTAAAATCTTCTAATAAATTAGTGCTCTCATGCCTCTGTGGTACAGGCATCTTCTCTATACTCAGTCACAGCATTTATGACACAATTCTCAGAGGATTGAAAAGTGTGTTCTTTCCCTAGCTCTTGCAATTTCAAGGCCATTGCTCTTTAGAGTTTGAAGTGGCTATTATTTACATGTTAACAAAACACAGCTTGTTTGTGGTTCTATAATATCAAGTATGCTAAGTAATAGAATTAGACAAAAACTAGAGGCGAACATTTTTAACAAATATGCAGGGTTTTTTTGCACTGCACAGATTTTTAAAAACACGCCATTAGCAACTTTGTAAGCATGCTGATGACCATGGCATTGTCAAAGTTTAGAAGGTGCTTGGAATTCTTCAAGCAGTATTTTAGTAATGAACTGAAACCTGGACTTACTTAAAGCAGGAAAAGGCCATTAGTGGTCAACAGGCTCTATGGGAATCTAGATAACTGCTCATCTTGCTGGTAAGGTGCACTGATGTTCAACTCAATCAGTAACAGAAATATTTTAAGTCCAGGTTACCCAAGGACCTTGAATAAAGGTCATGATGAGTAAACTTGCCTACATTTTTGGTTTCTCTGGCAGCTTTAAGTTTAAACCCAACTTAAAAACAGCCCTCATGCACACAGACTTAAGACTCTGGCATGGGAGGGACATTGGGACCATGTGGGGAGCAGGGAGAGCAAAGAGGCTGTAATCAGCAAGAACAATTTGGAGGTGACTCAGTTTCCTGTATCTCCCACAACAGCTTGACTTTTAAAAATTCTGCCAGCAATTCTATTAAAAGTTGATGGGAGTGAGAAAGCAATTGCTTTTAAAAACATAGTACTGCTGGGAAATTAAAAGATGCTCACGCATCCAAAATGCTGCTTTCTGGAAAGCAGTTGGGCTGCTTTCTTCCACACACCGAGCCAGGATGCAGAGATTGGAGTGAGGTGATTGTGGAAACCCTGGAGGGCCTTGGGGAAGAGGTGAGATGGGACAGTTACAGCAGAAGGGATCACAGAACATGGAGCACAGGGGAGGAAAACACAGAGGGGACAGATGTGGAAAGGACCACAGCACTTTAGCTTTAACACATCATAGACACCAGAAAGGAGGAGGAGGTAGTTTTTCTTCTCCTATTATCGGCTGCTCTGCCTGGATTTGTTCTTAGAGCCATAACTCAGTCTCATGTAATAGAGGTCTTTTTTTTTTTTTTTTTTTTTGGTACCGGGGATTGAACTCCGGACCTTGCGCTTGCGAGGCAGGCGCCAGAACCACCAAGCTAAATCCCTGGCCATGTAATAGAGATCTTATTGTTCAGCCGCAAACTGGATGAGATTTTGAAGATGCATTTGGAAATCAGCATTGGGTGACATGCATGTAACAAAGTATATTCTGAATTTTGAACAATCAATTTATAAATAAATCTTTGAAGGGCTAAATGTGTCATCTGAGGATTATCCAAGTGAATCTATCCCAACAAAAGCCAGCATTTGACTCCCCTGGGAATTACCCTCATGGTATGTGCCATCCAGAGCCCTCTCTTTTCTGCTTATCTCTTAAACATTTATTTTCTCAGTGGATGCATACAAAAGATAAGCGATGAAAGAAAAGAGGACACATTTAATCCAGCTTCACTATTTGGAAATTCTGATTCTTTCTCCATTTCCCTCAAACCAAGTTCAGAAGAGTCTGTCAGCTACTTGTGGAGGTCTACTGGACTGCTATGGGAGAAAGGTCTGGGTAAATAGCACCAACTCTCCCTTTTCCTGGCTCATTTTTACAGGTTTTTGAGCTTCCTCTGGGGGCTTCAAGAATTCTGCATGTTTAATCAGTGTAGCACATGACAATAGGGTCTAATAAAAGCAACGCATATACTTATTTCTGTTTTCCAGGAGTGCACAGTCTGTGCAACCTGATGATAGTATCTTCTGCTTGGATGCCAACCCTATAGGCTTAGGCCATCTGCATCCTTTCAGACTTTTCTGGGAAATTTCTGTGATTAAGTCATGATAATAAAATGGTTTGTCCCAACTTTCACTGCTTATTGCAATCACCTGGGATGCTTCCAAAAATATTGTGTATTTAAAAATGCCTGTTGTTGGGTGTGGTGGCACATGACTGAAATCCCAGTGCTCAAGAGGCTTGATTTTTTTTTTTATTGGTACAGGGGATTGAACTCACGACCTTGTGCTTGCGAGGCAGGCACGGTGGCACTGAAATCCCTGGCCTGATCACCTCAATTTTGAGGCCAGCTGCAGCTACATAGTGAGGTCAAATCTGGCCTGGACCACATAGCAAGACCCTGTCTCAAAAGACCAAAACTCAAACCAAAAAAAGAAAAAATGGCTGAGGAAGTAGTTCAGTGCAAGGGCCATAAATTCAATTACTGGTACCAAAAAAAAAATCCTGTTTCCTAACCTCAGAGCTAATTTACTTAACTGATTTGGAGAATAGCCTAGGTGCTGAGATTTTTAAAAAGCCCCTCCCCCCTGAGGTTCTAACAAGCAGCCAAGACCAAGGATTATTGATAGACTCGATTCACTCCATGTAGAAACATGGCAATTTATGAGACTTTTATATCCATTTAGGTCAATAAATGTTTATTGAATACTTCTCAGTACAAGGCACAAAGGCAAACTTCTGACACCGTCGATGCCACCAAATAGTTAAAACCAAGTGCAAGCAGAAGTCCTCCTGTGCAAGAGGTGGGGTGGGCAGGTGTACAGAGGTCACACTCTCTGTAAACACTGTATGAAGGAACCTTCTCTTCCTCAAGGTCCAAGACACTTGCTACAAGGTTTCAGAGACCATATTTACTCACCTGGAGCTGGGGAGTCAGAAAATATGTCCTACAGGCAGTGACATCTGAGATGGACTGCAGGGAACAGGTAAGGTTTCTACAGGTGGAGGTTGGGGAAAGAGCCTTCCAGTAGAGGTCCAAGAGAAGCAGGGCCCTGTGTGAGTCTGCTTCGGAGCCCCAGATGAAAAGCTTTGGAGTTGTACTGGGGTGAGCTCGAATATTCCAAGGACAGAACAGCTGGTATCCACCCGAGTTGGCTCCAGGCAGACATTAGGGATTTGAAAATTAGGAAATAATATCAGTGGAGAGTACTTTGAGGAAAGTGATCTGGGGTTGGGATCTTGCCCTGGATATCTGTGGTAGGTCTGGAGGCAGGAAGGCCAGTGAGAAGAAGTCTGTGGTGGTTGAAGTCTGAAGTATGGAGAGAAATTAAAGTACTGAAAGTGTGAAGTGAGAGAATGGAAAAGTCTGAAGGGGAGTGGAAAGGAAGGTCTGAATAGAGAAGGAATGATAGCTTTAGAATTAACAGGACTTTGGGATTCATTGAACAAGGAAGCAGAAAAGTGACTTGGAGGCTTCTGGTCTGGATTCTGAGGAATGTGCTGGCACCATTAATAGGTCTCATTAAGCTAGTTTGAGGAATGGTTTGTGCAAGAAGACTATGAATCTTCTGATTTTGTATATGTAAAAAAACCCACGATGGAACTAAACTCTCTTACTCAAATATTCCTCATTGTAGTTGAATTCTACTAAAATTCTTAAAGCAGAGTGCTGATTTGTTTAAGGCAGCAGTTTTCAGCAAAAGGGTATTCTGTCTCCCAGGAACATATGGCAATGTCTGGAGATATTAGGTGGGGAGAGTCTACTACAGGCATCCAGTGGGTAGAGACCAGGGAAGCTGCGAAATATCCGAGAGTGCACAGGCTCAGCCCCCTCCCCAACAAGGACTTATGCAGCCCCAAGTCTATAGTGCTGAGACTGAGAAACCCTGCTTTAAAACAACCCAATAGCTCAAATTTCAGGAATTTTTAGGCTCATTATATTTTGAGTGAGACAGCGTCATCTAGTGTCCAAACATGACATTTATCCTGGTTTTATGTCAAAAGAAAGACAGATAAAAAATATTCAGAAGGGGCCAGGGATTCAGCTCAGTGGTTCCAGTGCCTGCCTTGCAAGCGCAAGGTCCTGAGTTCAATCCCCAGTACCAAAAAAAAAAAAATTCAGAAAACTAAGACATATAGAAATGAAGAATATCCCTTCATGAGAGAACTGTCTAGTATTATTGAAGTATGTGTGATGGGGAGTTCAAGTGTCTAATCCGGAGCTGATCTCAGAGTTAGGAAGTGCTTTCTGGTTAGGAGAGAGTTCACAATACAATAGACAACATTTTACAGCACTTGTTCTATGTAAGATTCATGCTATTCCAATTAAAGTTGCCTATATTTTACCACTGTTACTGCACATATGGAAAAGGAAAAAAGGTCTAATAATTCTGGTGAATAACGAATGAAATCTTATGGATGCACCCTATGGCATTTCGTTATATTAAGCAAGACTGAAAACAAGATTTTTAGAGTTATGAAGTAGCAGGATGAAGAGCATAGAAACTTCGGTCTCCTAAGAATAGAAGCAGCATTCTACCTGTCTTAGCTGTTACCTCTTCTGTCAGAGTACAAGCTCCCTGAGGGCAGGGACTGTGACTTAGTCACATCCTTGTATTTCCCACAGGCTCTGGCATAGCATCGTTTTTTCCCCCCCTGGTACTGGGGATCAAATTAGGACCTTGCGCTTGCCAGGCAGGTATGGTGCCACTGAGCTATATCCCTGGCCCTGGCATAGCATCTTTTACAGAGTAGACACACATGATATTTTGAATGAATGAATTTATTTTTATATTGGAAACCCTTGCCTTGATGTGAAGAAATTATTTTCAAGCCTTTCCAAGCATTTACTATCTCTATCTAAATCACTTGCTCACATAAGATGCCAGCGGACGGGGTTTGGCACACAGAACACCAGGGATCCAAGCAGAGGGCATCGGTGACAGGACCTTCAATTCATTTCCCTGGTAGCCTGGAGCAAACCGTGCTGTGACAACCATTGCCGGTGCAGTGTTTGGACTGAGGTGGGGTTTGAAGATATTTGTGTCTAATGTAAGATTCACTTCCGCAACAAATGCTTCCCGAATGCCTACTGTGTGCTAGGTACTCTTCTAAGCACTAGGGATATTGCTGTGAACGGAAATCTAAAATTCCTTAAGTTGAGAGGCAGGTTTGGAATAGGTAGGTTAGACTAGAGAGGCTTGTTCCCCTTTCCCTCCACTTTCCCAGCTAGCATAGTATTTTCTACATAGAAAATGCAATTTGATCAATGATATCAAATCAGTTCACAGCTATTAAGGCCTCCTCTTTCTGCAACCACTACTCTGCTGTGGGAAGTGAAAATCAACGCTCTCTCCCCGCTCCATCTTGTCTGCATTGCTTCCTTCCTGCCTTCTACACTTCCAGACTTTTGGGGAGGGGCAGGAGCACGTTGGGGTGGTATTCTATGGGCAGATGATGACTCTTGCAGTTTGCAAGTGGCAATTGAAGTTGGTAATTTTAAAAGTGACCCTGCAGATCTTTTTTCTGATTGGTTTATTAATAACTCTTTAGTTCTAGAGTCTAGGGCTATGCAAAATCAGAAAGAAGAAAAACCAGTCACCATCCAAAGGAAAATGGTGCAGATAGACAAGGCTGGTGGGGCCCTGTTTGACCACAGAATAAGTACATTGTGCAATACTGAGTGTTTCAGTGAATTTTTTTTGTATCTCAAGTGCATTTTGGCACCTTACTATGCAGCTCTGTACAGCCAGAATATGCAAATCAAGTGTTCCACCACATGTATGAGTGGCATGGCATGATCTCCTAATGCTAAATGGAAGCTGATTTAATGAAGTCACCAAAACTACTGCTATATATGTAATCAGTGAAGGGTGACAGTGACTTCCCTACCTTTTTCCTTTGCATTGTTAGGTGAATTAGTTATATCTTTTTTTTTTTTTCCTTGAGATAGGGTCTCACTATACAGCTCAGCCTGGCCTGGAACTCAAAGTGATCCTCCTGCCTCAGCCTCCCAAGTGCTGGGATTACAGGCGTGTGCTACCACGCCTGGTAGAATTAGTTATATTTTAAGGTCACTATTGTCTAACTTTCTCTGCCCAGACACATGGCCCCTAATTGCTCCTAGTAGAGCCTAGGCATCCTTAACACAACTGGGCCAGGGGGACATTCTCACTTTTCCCCACAGCAGTGGATGGCAGCAGTAGGACATCTTCAGTTCATCTATCGCCGGTTCACATTTTTGTTGGACTCTTTAAGAGGCACAGCCCTACAACAGTGTAGGAGACCCCAGCCTCCTTATTCAAAGTACTTCCTGCCACAACCCCAGCACATGGGAACCCATCACGTCCACTCCTTGGAATCCACTGCATCGGTGTCCTCCTTCCCCCTCTACACAGTCCACCCCTTACACAGCAGCCACCCAGACAGCCTTAAAGTTCATCGCTCTCCACTATGCTAGAAGAGCATGAATACACCATTGTGCTTTCCACGGAGGAAAAGGCAGAAAAAATGTCAAGTCCTTTACTGGTGAGAGATCCATAGCGACTGCCGCTCGGCCGGATGGACATGGGCGGTGGGATCTGCTGGTGCCACTGAGCTGAAAAATGGAGCAGATGATGTATTACGATCAGAGGACTATGTGTGGCATGTGCACTGCAGGAGGGCATTTGTCCTCATGCTCATACTCAGCAATAAGCAGAGAACCTTCCCTGCCAAGCACGGGGAAACTGGGCTAGTGATCTCTTAAACCATTAAGCCCTGAATCTGTGATTTTTTAACTCAGTAAGAAGCTAGAATTCTTATAACAAAGAAGGGTGGGTGAGTAGGGTGGTTTCTCCAAATCATTTCCTCTTACTGACATGGCTTGGTATCTGCTGGGGGCTCTCTGTGGAGGGTACCTCAGGTGGAGGCACCTGTGGAAGCTAAAGATGGATTTAAACTGAGCATTGTGGTGCACACCTATAATCCCAGCACTTGGGAGGCTGAGGCAGGAGGATTGGCATGAGTTTGAGTCCAGCCTGGACTACATAGTGAGTTTAAGGCCAGCCTGAATTGCATAGTGAGACTCTATATCAAATAACTGAAAGAAAAAGAAGACAGGTTCAGCCATCACAGAACTGCCTACCTTATACTCTAGCCACCTGATATAGCCATGATCTATTTACCTACCCCCTAATCAATCAGGTACTAATGAGCTACAGTAAGAAGACTGAAAAGTAACTTATGTTCAACCAACTGTGGTTCAGGGACAGAAAGAATTTATTAGAGTTTTCATTATCAATAGGTGTTTTTTCAGGCAGACACAATTCTTAGGCTTGTACATGGCCTGGATGAAATAACTCAGGTGGTGCAGTCCTTGTTATTATTTCTGATTCAAGAAATTACCAAACAATAACAGGATTAGGTTTCTGGGACCTTGATGTGAAGAAGGGGGTGCAGGAGGAAGTGGGGAATCCTAGGGCACTGGGTCCTAGAAAGCTGTGCTTCTACTTAGCATTTTGATTTATAAATTGGTCCTTTGTTGACTTCACTATCTTTTTTTTTTGGTACCAGGGATCGAACTCGGGTCCTTGTGCTTGCGCAACAGGCAGCAAAACCACCGAGTCAAATCCCCGGCCCAACTTTGCTATCTTGAATCAGTTTCTTGGAGTCTAAGTTCCATTGAGTGAATTGAGAAAGTTGAGTTTGGAAAGCTACCACACTGAGGACAAAATCTACAGCGATTCTACTTAACTCTCTTAGCCTTTCCCTGCTCTCTGACATCTACCTGGATGGTCATTTCTAGTATTAGAAGCCCTTCCTCTGTGTGTGTCTGCTGGGGATTGAACCCAGGGCCTCATGCATGCTAGGGAGTGTCTACCACTGAGCCACACCCTGGTCAGAAGCCCTTCTTCCAGCAAGAGGAATACACTGCTGCCCTGCAGTGACTGTGTTGATGGTGGTGGAGGAGAAGAGGGGTAGGGAATTCATTCTATCCTAAATCCTCCCTCACCCCAGACCCTAACAGAGGGAACAGCACCTCCTCCTGGGTGTCATGAAATCAGAACCTGGAAGAGGAGAGTTGAGCCTGGCAAATTGGGTGGGAACTTAGCCCCTGGTAGTCATCGGCTTCAGGGCTTGTCCCAGCCCGTGAGCTTCTCCACTGGAGATGGATTGCCATCAGACCTGTGAAGGCTGGGGAGCAGTAGGGACTCAGCCTGGATTAAGAAACCTTCACTGGGTTCTTTCTGGATTTTTTTTTTTCCAGCTTCTCTCACAGTTGATTTTTTTTAAGTCCAAAGATAAGGAAAACTATCCAGAAATCTATACATTTCCTACAAAAATTAGACTTAGGGAAAATGGTTGGTCAAGCTCTGTCCTGTGTGGTCCTAGATGAAGGGGATGCACCTATAAATATCAGGGTCCTCAGATTCTCCACGCTTATTTGTTATTCTGATTAAATCTGTTAATTCAATTATAAATACGAAACTTATTGATCTAACCAAAATTTTTTAAAAGAAGGAGAAAAAAAATCACTGTTTTGGGTTAAGGAACATGTATAACAAAGAACAGTTAAAAAGTATAAGGGAGGGAAATGGAATACACTAACACATTAATAAAGATTACTTAGCTTCTTTTTTTTTCCCCATTAACTTTATTGGTACATTTTAGGTATAAAATACAGTTACAGTCATCACTGGGATCTTGTACCATTACATGAGTCTTTTGGTTCTTATTTTTTTTTTCCCCTTCCCTTGCCCTCCCTTCACCCCC